TTTTTTTTTTTTTTAGCGTTTTTCAGCTAATTTCAGCTGTTTTCAAATAAATTCAATTTTTTTGTGGTAATTTCTGCTGCTTTCAGCCAAATTAACTTCTTTATGCTAATTTCAGCTTGTTATGCGCCTTTCAACTTAATTATGCTAGTTTCAATTTCTGCTACTATTTAGCTGTTTTTATGCTAATTTGACCTTTTTCAGCCAATTCCACTTGTTTTTAGCTCATTTCAGCTCTTTCTGCTTCCTTCTCATAGTTTAAGCTTCTTTCTTACTTTTCAGACATTTTTTTTTTAGCTACTTTCATAATTTTTGTGCTAATTTCTGCTTATTTAAACCTATTTCAGCAAATAAATTTTCTTTCTGCTTTCTTCTGCCAATTTAGGCTTTTTTTTCCCATTTCAGCTACATTTCAGCATGTTTTTTTTAGCTTATTTCAGCTGTTTCTCAGCAAGTTCTTCTGTAATAAGATTTCACGCTGCATTTTCGCAGGAAATGTGATTTCTCTAGTTGTTATTACGTTGGGGCTCTTAATGCTTACCGGTGTCATTGAAACGGGATGCTGGAAAGGCCTCAAAGTGAGCTCACGCCCTTTAAACGTGACACCGTCCCACGTCTGTTTGAGAACAGCCTTCATCTCCTGTGTACTCGGCATGTTGGCGTACGCCTGACAGGAAACGGACAAAACAAACAATATTCATCAGGTTTATGACGACAGGCAGCTTTGGCGCTTAAATCGTTTAAGAGAAAGAGTCACATGAATAAATCTCAGCATCAATGAAGTCAATTTCAAAACTTACGATGCCTATTTGAGGAATAATGTAGAGGTTGACGGATGAATATTTAAACCCGAATGGGTGAAGCAGACAAGAAATGTCCTCCTCTGAGTAGCCGCTATCAGGAAGGTTCGTGATCAGCAACAACCGCTCATGAAACTGAAAAAGAAACAATTCAGGGAGTTAAAAACATCAACAAAAGGAACACATGGCACTTTATACGCCCATAGGCCTGTCACGATAACAAATTTTGCTGGGCGATTAATTGTCTCAGAAATTATTACGATAAACGATAATATTGTTTGAAATTTGATAAATGTTGGTTAATTTTTGTGTGCAATACCTTTTTTTTGGACCACCGGATGGCAGTATAAGACTGTTTGAACCGAAGGATGGATAGTGAGGGAGCGAGCAGCGTGTCCCTGCTGGGAGAGAGGCCCCTTGACGTGACATGGGTTGTCTCTCTTCGGTTCTCAAAATGGCGTACGCTCGGTGTGGTTTGAGCTCTTTAGCATTTTTCACGCAAAGCTTTTAATTAAAAAAATCAGTAAACAAGTTCTCAGCTTCTTTTTGCAGAGAAAAACAACTTTTTACACGAAGGCACGGGTTTCAACTGTGAATTTTGGAGCTTCGACAAGACGGAGGTTTATTCCCGAGGTCGGCCTGCTAGCTTAGCTCGTAGCTTAGCTTCTCAGCTTAGCTGCTTTTAAAGATACAAAAAACGTGATTTAGGACGGTTAAAACGGATTTTTAACGAGAATAGAGAAAGGGAGGAGTCAGTGAAGAGCACCAGAGTTGAACCTTTTGACATCCAGTGTCTTCAGAAAGAAGAAGACGGAGCCGATAATGGAAATGAGGTCGATAATTTTCGTCTAACATGCGATTAATTGATTTATTGTTTATCGCGACAGGCCTATACGCCCATCCACAAACGCTTACACAGCGATCATCTGTAGCAATGGCCCAAACAAGCGAAGTGACCGGTGACCTTGACCTTAGAGCTGGGGTGATGAAAACATTACGCGGAGCTCCGTCTAGTGGAGGTACAAATGTTCATCACGTTTCATTAAATTATCTTGAGCAGATCAGAAGATACGGGCCGAACAAGGGAAAGGTTACGGTTGGACGGACAGAGATGACGGCACAGATCATCCGTCTTTGGACGAGTGTCTAAAACAGAAAAGTTCCTGCTGTCAAGAAACTTTCATGAAACACCTTTGAGTCCCAGGATCAATTGCTTTTTTTTTAAATGTCATTGCTGATGTCTTTCCACCTTGGCGTTGTGTTAAGTTATAGGTGGTCCCACAGACAACGATTGGTTAATCAATACATTTGATCAGCAGCTCCTGGCTGACCAACCTCCTAAATCGGGGGTGGAAAACCCCAAAAGGGGACCAAAAAAAGACTCTCTCGATTGCAGGTTCCTCGACGAGAGTTCCTTCGGCCTCGTTTGACGTTCTCCG